GTCAACTAAAATTGTTCAACAATCCTGATTGAAATGGTTTGAAATAGGCAGAAAGGGTACTTAGCTGCAAGAGGGGTGCATTGTGATTACACCCCTCTGCTACTCCACGTGGCTTCCTACTGTCCACCCCCACGGTCCATTACTGGATCTGTTGGGAGGTACACCAAAACACAGTCGCCAGTCTCCCGCCAACACACCAGCACCAATATTCCTCCGACCCACACCTGCCTGGCCCCGCAGCCGGCCTTCTGTGTCCGCCGCTCAACACGTGCAAACAAAACAACGCTCACGTTTTGCCTGGGGAATAGCGTCCCGCTATTCACCCAGGCTGGAGTTGCAAGGCCCAACAGACAAAGGCTGCGCTTCAGGCGTGTGGTTGTTCTCCTGTGGTGGTGGCGGTCTCCTCTCACCGTCTGGCCCTTCGCTGAAGTCCTCTGCCTTCTTTCTCTCCCTTCCACGCTGCTTTCCTGCTGCTTAAGGAATGTCACCTGCGCTCGCCACCACCTGTGGCTCGTTGCGCTGATTGCTGCCGGGGGCGAGTCCGTGTGCAGTTCAGTGTCAGTTTGAAAATGAAAACTCTGCATGCAGTTCAACATAAACTCTAACTGAAATAATCAAAATACTACAAACAAGGTAACACAGCATTTCATAAACATAATGAACACAGTAAAATAAACAAAGTAACACAACATGTAATATTTCATAAACGTAACTAAAACACAGAACACACACAACATGCAACATCCTATGAACTGACCCTGTCAAGCTTACATCTAATTTCTACCGACACTTTTGGACCTATTAAAAAATCCTTTTGTTCTCATGTTGAAGGAAGCAACTGATAATCTGTCATTTCCTCCCACTATGAAACAAGGTATAATTACCTTAATCCCCAAACCGGGTAAAGACTCCAAAATATTGGATAATCTTAGACCTATCACATTATTGAACAATGATTATAAGATTGTAATCTTTGTTTATGCCAACAGATTAAAGAGTAACCTAGACAAAATTATAAGTGACTCCCAATCTGGATTTATGAAAGATAGATCCATTCACAACATCTGTTTGGTGATTGATCTCCTAGATTATAATCATTTAATAGAAGATGATGGCTTTATTTTGTTTCCTGACTTTTATAAAGCCTTTGACTCAGTTGAGCATCCCTTTATTTTTCAGTGCTTAAAACTTTTAGGCTTTGGGAATAAATTTCGAGCCACTATAGAGTCTCTTTATGATAATGCAAATAGCTCTATTTCGTTACCAAGAGGTACATCACCAAGATTTGCTATCAAACGTGGGGTCAAACAAGGCTGCCCTATCTCTCCATTTCTCTTTGTAACTGCCACAGAAATGCTTTCTATTTTTATTAAAAATTCAGACATTGCTCCTTTAAACGTTATTGGGATACCTGTTGTCATTAGCCAGCTTGCAGATGATATGACCATCTTTATGAAACACCTAACTGAGGTCCCCAAGATAATACAAGCGATTAATATATTTTCCAGTGTCTCGGGGCTTAAACTTAATTTGAACAGATGTGAGTTAATGCCAATTCATCATAGTGATTTAACAGAAGCATACAACATTCCTATAAAATAAATACTTAGGAATACATATATCTAAAAACCCAACTGAAAGAGAAAATATGAATGTGTGGAGTGTAATAACTCAATGTCAAACTAAACTTAACTCCTGGTTATTGAGAGACATCAGTTTACTAGGTCGAATCTTTCTTACTAAGATGGAAAGCATATCGAGATGTATCTATCCAGCGTATTCTTTGGCCATCCCTAACAGAGCCATTAAGAAGGTCAACCAAATTAATTTTGATTATATCTGGAAGAAAAAGATGCACTATATTAAGAGAACAGAGATGACCAAAGAATACAAAGATGGGGGCCTACAGGCTATTGATTTTGATTTTATCAATGGAACACTGAAAATTAACTGGTTAAAATCGTTACATAACAATAAGAGCTTCTGGTATCATATCCCCAGAGAAATCTTCAAGAAACTTGGAGGCATAGATTTTTTATTAAAATGTGATTTCAATATTCAGAAACTTCCCGTTAAATTATCCCTGTTTCACCAGCAAGTCCTTTTATATTGGAAACTTTTGTACAATCATAATTTCACCCCGCACAACATGCTATGATGATATGGAACAATAGATACATTACAGTTAAAAACAAGTCATTGTATAACAAGGACTGGATGGATAAAGGTATTTGGTCTTTAATTCATTTGGTTGACGATGATGGGTGTGTGATGACATATGAAAATTTTTGCCTTAAATATGATCTAGTTGTCAATCAGAATTCCTTTGCATCCATAATGAAAGCCATCCCTAATCCTACTTTAAATTCTGGGACGGTTTTTGCTATGGGCAATGTGGGCGACCGCCCAGGGCGCGGTCTATGTGAGGACGCACGAGCGCCCTCCAAAACAAACAAAAAAAACCCCAAAACTCGCCAGTTTTCTAGACTACCCCTCATTATCACGTCAAGTTAGTGAAGTGGGTGCCCTTATTATCACGTTTCAACCAGCAGCAGAAAGGAAAGACGAATCCTGGCGGTTGTGGGTTGAACGGGGGTCACAGACAGGAATACGGCGGAGGCTTATAGTGCTCTGCGGCGCAAGATAACGGCTTACCGGCAACAGAGAAGTCCGACTCCAGGTCCAGTAATTTCCTCTTTCGTTGGTGTCATGACTGCCCAGTAGTACCTGGACAACCAAACTGTGGCGGCACACAGGTATGTGGCGTGTCAGAGGAGAAACGAGCCATTCACATTTCTCTCTTTGTGGCAGGGATGGTTCGCCCAGGGCGTAAAACTAGCCAGGACCGCCTCTGTTTAAATTTAATTCAAGGGATTGTTTCAAACTCGACGCACATCACTCCTAATTTTCCACATCTCCTAGTTGGAAGCTATGACTTTGAGAGTATTAAAATTCCCAATAAAACAATTAGAAAGATGTTTGATGACATCACACACCCTTTATTGTCTTTTCAAAACTCCATCAAACAAAGTTTCTCCAAAGATATTATATATTCTTTGCGCTCTAAATACTTAAAATTTCCCATAAATCCAAAAGCAACAGAAATCCATTTAAAAATTTTAAATGGTGTGTATCCGTCTGGTGAACTATTACGACAGAGATTTGATTTTGAAACAAATAAATGTGTATTTTGTGATGATATTGAAACCTCTGATCATTTATTTTTTTAATGTATGCTTTTTGAAGCATTCTAGACTGATATACATGACTGGCTGCACACAAAGATCCGACTCGAACTCTTTTCTCAGAAGGACATTATTTATGGTGTTGTTATGGACAATAATGAATGGGACTTTCTAGTAAACAATATACTAATCCTTGGAAAATTTTACATACACAAATGTATGTATGAATGTGAAACCTAGATTTAATGTGTTTCATAACGAGTTTCTTTCCTTCACCAAAGCCCTTGACATAATGAAAGGTAAAAATGCAATGAAACTTTTCAGTTCATTTGAAAAATATGATTTACGACAAAAGCCCTAGCTAACTTTTTATTTTATTTTATTTATTTCATGGATATTTTATTTTCTCATGCAGATTTTCTCTTTTGCATTCTTCCTATGCACCTGCTCCTTTGAAATGTAAAAATGATGTAAGCCATGTTGTTTGTACATGATTTTGTTAAATAAAGTAAAAAAAAAAAAAAAAAAAAAGATACCTCAAGAAATAAACACCCAGAATTTTGTTGATTGACCAATCAGAATCAAGTATTTAAGAGTGCCATGTTCTAAGCGTATCTCCGCAACGGATTGGTTGATTTGAGTGACTGACACTTCGTTCGATTTGTTAGAGCCAATAGAATGGCGCTATACCCACCAACCAGAGATTGACAGCACTGTAAGCCAATCAGAGTCAGCAGAATACAGTTGTAGGGGAGTTGCCGGCTGCTGAATGCGGTCACTGTTGAATAACGTGGCGTCCCGTACAGCCCAAAATATAACGAGTGGGCATGGAGTTTGATTTGTTATTATTTATTTAGTTGTTGTTTGGGTTTATACAGCCTTGTAGCCCAGGTTCTGCTGTTTAATTTGATGTGCAGCACATTCTTCATGATTAGTGCGTTGTTTCACACTGTTTGCAAAGTCGTTCTCAAAGTCCCCCAGTTGGGGGACTGTCGGGTAGATTTATAACCAACAATTTGGGCAACCCAATAATAGAAGACGAGTGCTCATTCTTTGTCAAAATATGTTAAAATCACGTGGAATTATTCAAAATTTTCCCAGGGGAGAAACCCCCGAACCCCCAGGTAAAGAATTGTTTCCAATTGTTTTTCAACTCCTAGCAACGTCCCTGCTCATAGCAGTTCTTTGTCATTCTTCCAATGGCAGCTCAACTTCTCTCCTCACCAGTGATGCATAAACTCTTTAGCTGTTGCTGTGTCTTGTGTGTTATGAAGACTGGGTGAGGAGAGACTCGTTGAGGCTGAGAAAGATTCCGAGCTAAACGACCCACAATCATGGCAAAAAGATAGGCCTACTTCCTGGCGAGTCACAGCTCTTGAGATCGACTCTTCAGGTGAGAAATCAACTATAATTAGTAGGTTTTCACACATGATTTGAAGATAATGTAAAGGTGGAAGAGGTACAGGTCTTTCAGTAAAAGTAGTAATAACTTTGTGTGGTTGTCTGTTGACAAGCTGCAGTGTGATGAGTCCTGGGGCGGTACTTGATGTGCTGCGCTGCACTGTGTGTTTTCAGCTTAAGGGTTTTTATGTAAACTGCAATCCTATGATTCTAGACTCTAGGACCATTTAGAAAAATGTACCAGTGGTCCTTGAACTGTTAAACAATTTCTTGGTAGAAACCCCATAGAAAATGTGGTTCTTAGACATACCCAGTCATTCCAGTAAGACCAAGAAATATCACTCTTTGGGAAAGTAGGGACACACAGCTCAGTTTTTACAATATATTGTTTTATTATGCGTTCTCAACATCGTCACAGTACTAGTTTTACATCAATAGCAGTGTGTCTACTTAGAAACAGAATGCATAATAAAATAAGAGCACTCCTCCCTTCCCTTTGACTTCAAAAGTGGGCTGTGAGTGTGAGAGAATAGGAGCATCTCAGGAAGTATGTTAGAAGCCGTGTTAACTGTGTAACAGTTGGCTGTTCATCTCTAGATCCTATGATAATTCAGTCCTGTTGGAGGCAGAGAGAAGCAGTTGATGATTATGTAAATATCAGAGGGGAGCAGAAATGCATCTTCAATGTAATGCAGATATTGAGGAGTAGTAGTAATAATAATATTATTATTATTAACAATAATAATAATGATAATTGTAATTTACAGACTATTTACATGTTTTCTCATTACTATCCACCCATACTTAAAAGGTTCACTCTGTTTCAGAGCCTCTTCATCAAATGACATTAGATTCCCACAGATGGATTTGCTATTTACACTCAGCAGTATACTGCCATGTCTTTATACTATACAATGGAAATAGAGGTGAAATGCAGAGTATAATGACATACTCTAATTGTAAATGAAAAGACACACTAGCAGCCAGATATCATCTAAATGTAAACAAGCATAATTTAGAGAAATAAAAGCTACATTGAAAGGTAGGGACTTAGTTATGCACAACACAACAAAAGAGAGAAAAGAAAAGAAAAAGAAACGATAGGCATCAATGGCATGCAACAAACCACCTCACACAGAATCTGGACAGGTTTTTTGATCAGACGTCTGAAGGACCTGGTGGGTTATGAAACCACCAATATCTAATAAAGCTAGGTTTCTTCTTGGCTGGTGTTTCCATCATGATCCCAGTTAGTAATCAGACTTTGGTCTGAGGACAGAGTTATGATTGGTCAACTGTAAGGTTGTGCTGGGTCGATTAAATTTGGCCCCCAATTGATTTTGTAACTGATTTAAATTGTAATAACCATGCAATATTGGCACTTTTCTGACTCTATACAACCTAAACTTTGCTGGATTAAATGCTGTATATTTGACAGATCAGTAAAATGTTAGATTGTAGAGTAGCCTACAGTACATAAAGCCTGCAAAATGTGTTGTGGATCATGACAGATATTTTAACAGTACTACTGTCTAATCAGGCACCCTTTATAGAGGGTTCATAGGTGGAAACTAATGGCTTCATTAATGGTTAATAAAAACTTAATATAATATAATAAAAACTCAGCAATAAGCTATAGAACATTTGGATTGCCAGGTTGTGTAAAACCTCTTTGGTAGGAGTTTATCCTCCTCCAGCAAACTTGTCTAGTGAACAAAGTGGTTACAGGGTGGCCTAAACAACAGCCAGCGCCAATGAATATATGGCATTCATTGTGAGGAACATTAACTGTGCTCTTTTTCCAGAAGGTTAATGGTTTGTTAATACTGAATAAATTCCGTATGTTGTTTAGTGGAGATGGTCTATTTCTACGGTGGCCAAGAGATGTCACAACACACGCAAATTCCACAACACACGCAAATTCACACAACACACGCACATTAAGAAAACACCCCCAAATTCAGAAAACACATTCATCAATTTCGCAATACATAAGCTGCAAATCCTCACAACACAAGCAAATAAGAAAACGCTGCAAATCCTCACAACACAAGCAAATAATATAACGGGATGGAAATGCACACAACACAGGCAAGAAGCTGAACGCTCCGCAAAAACGAAAACACACGCCAACTTGAAGGCGACAACGGAAATGTTGGACCGTAATCACTCACGGACCTGCTTTTGGGCGCAGATGGTTTCATCCCAATATCCCTCCTCAACTCCTCCGTCCTCAATCCTCGGTCACTTGACCCGGAAATTGATTTGAGACTCACCATCTTGTACAACGTCTCAATTCGTTAAATGCACTCAGAGGAGTCAAGGAGAGAGCAGGCTTTCAGAGGAGGGGGAAGAGAGTGCAGCCGTTTACCAACCGATACACCCCCTTATTGGATATCAGTTATTGATTGGACAGCGCAGCGCTGTAGCTGATCAGACTGATCTGATACATCCCTACATCACTGGAGTTTCATACAGAGTGAAGACAGATAACAGATTCAACTCAAATGTATCACTGCCACGTTTTATATTTTATTTGTTTTCTAATTCACCATCGAGTTAAAAATCTGAACAAGAAAAGGAAACAAACGACTCTTCATTTATTAGAAAGAGTGTTCTCTTCACGATCTGTTATTTCCCTCATCAACTTTAATTATAGATACAATCAAAGAGTCTGTCTGTCAGAGAGTCTGTCTGTCAGAGAGCCTGTCTGTCAGAGAGCCTGTCTGTCAACAGGAAACACTTTTACATCAGTGATTGCCTTTTCCATTCAGTCACACTGAGGCTGATCATTCCTGAGCGTCAGGTTGATGAGTTACAGAATTTTAATTTTCTCTGAAACATTTGGCCTAATAAATTATTTCCAGTGTTTAAAGACACCATGATCATGTTCTGGGTTATTAAATAATGAACTAACAATCAGAATATCAATAAATACAGCAGCAAATAATGAATAAATCATAGAAAGACATTCTGTGACTGAGCAGGACACAGGTCAGATTATAAATACAGAACGCAGGTTGTTGTTCATGTGCAGGTGATTGTTAGACAGAGAGAAAACACTGCTGCTCTGTTACTGATAACTGTATCTGTATCTTTATCATTATATATGTTTCTATAACATCATGTGATAACTGATCAGCTGCCGCCGTCATTAGAAATGGACGTCGCTTCATGTGACGCTTCAGAGGAAAAGATGACTCATTTCTCGACAGATATATCTCCTCGTTTCTTCTCTACTCATGTCTCATCCTCGCATCTCTCCCCCGTGTCCTACAAGGAAGAGATGCAAGTGAGGGAAACGTGGATGCCCAAAAACAACTTAGATGCTCGGACCGGACTTGAAGAAAGTCTGGAAATGTCAACAACCAGTAAGTATGTCACTGATTACGGTCCCCCTGGAAACATTTCCGTTGTGGTCTTCAATTTGGTGTGTGTTTTCGTTTTTGCGGAGCGTTCAGCTTCTTGCCTGTGTTGTGAGCATTTGCATCGCGTTATCTCATTTGCTTGTGTTGTGAGGATTTGCAGGGTATGTGTTGCGAAATCAGTGAATGTGTTTTCTGAATTTGGGGGTGTTTTCTTAATGTGCATGTGTTGTGTGGCTATGCTTTAAAACACACTGGGAAACTCGGCCTGGCATGTCACCCGCATTGTCTTTTTCAGCTAGGTCTGGTTAAATATGAAGACTAATCACTTAAGGCTGCCCTGGAGTTTTCTTGGCAATGAATAAAAGTAATATTATATGCAACAAATTTGGGTGTGTCTCACCAAAGTTTATTATGTGTATCCTTAAGGTCAAATAGGCACACTGAGTGCACATTCTTCCTTAATAAACATTCATAGAGCTGATTTCTTTGTTAAATTGTGCAATATTTACATTGATGTTTGCTAGTGTGCAGCATAGATGCATTAAAAGTACTGGGTACAGTGTTGCAGGTGGGGTCCCCATCACTCTTATGAAAGTTTCTCAGTGGCCCCTGTGGCTAAAAAAACTTTGACCTCCTGGGTGTAAAATTACCCCAGTCTTTTGTGTCATTGGGCCCACAGAACAAGGGCACTAACAACTTTGCCAGCTGAGCAGCTAGCTTCTGCTGGCCAAACGGCTAGCCTCTGGTTTAGCCCTCTGCTAACTTAAATGGGGATAAAATGATTTAATCTTGCAGCTCTTCCAGACTTTTAAAATGTTATGAGACCGTATGGATCAAATCCCGATAGTGAGTAAGTTTACGAGTGTTGAGACACTCAAAAAAATGTATCCACTGGTTTACAGACATCTCTTTCCCAATGTAAGTCTACGCGGAAAAGTTTTTTGGGTGCAATGGCATCACGTGATGGACCCTGGAATTACAGGGTTTGGCCACTATGTCAGATTGGTTTCAAAGTCTGAGAGGTACAAGTGCAGCTGGAGCAGCTACATGACCAGCCTTCTAGCGACATAACCATTATACCTTTCAGCCCACAATCAGCACCCTTCGCTCCTTGACCTGAAAGCAGAAGTCCCAGTGAAACTGCTAAGGTAGCAATAGCTAGCTGTAAAGTATTACGTTAAAAGAGAGGTGGTTGAGGTTAGGGTAAGGGTAATGGGTAGGCTACATCTTGTTACTTATGCTAATGCTAAGTTAGTGATTAGTTAGCTGTGAAGTATTACGTTAAAAGAGAGATGCTTAAGGTTAGGGTCAGGGTAATGGGAAGGCTACATCTTGTTATATATGCTAAATGCTTAGTTAGCAATTAGCTGGCATTAGCTATGAAGTAATATGTTAAAAGTGAGGCAGTTAAGATTAGGATAAGGGTAATGGGAAGGGTTACATCTCAGTACTTACAAAGTGAATCATATCTTAATGTATTACAAATTATAAAGTGAATTATTACGACATTTCGTCTTATTCACTATGGTGTAGCATTGTAGCAGGGTTCAGATAGCTGTTGTGTTGGTGGTTTTGTTTTGTACTAGTGGTGGGCGCGGTTTTGTAGGGGTGTATTGTGTATGCTACAAATGGAATGTGTCTGCAGATATATATGTCAAAGTCCAGTGCACTTCCCAGAAGCTTGGTTTGCCGTCTTTTCCTTCATTACTTTTGCCAGCACACTGCTATGCTACTCTGGGTGTTACTGCCACCTACTGTCGATTAGTGGACCAACAAATGTGACTTACTAACATTTGCTGGAGGATAAACACCAGCCTAGGAGATTTTTCTAGAACATGCCAACTCAAAAGTTGTTCTTATGAAAGACTTATTGCTGATGTATAAAGCATCAACAAATTACTTATTAACCATTAATGCATATAACAATGAATTGGCTTTATTAAATAATCAATTAGTTACAATGTATAAAACCTCTGTAAAGGTTACTTTATATTAAGTGGTACCTTGATAACTTAAACCTTGAGGAAACAAGTATTTAAGAATAATAATGTACTGACTATCACTTAACAACAGTGTGAGCCACTGACAGAGACAGATGATATCACTATTATCACTCTGATTTCCAGATGACAGAGTACATATTTTGTCACGCTGCCTCTACCTTTCCTCTCACTGCTTTAGCCACTGTTGTACACTAAAGATCCAGTAAACTACTCTATGTGGATCAGGAAAAGATACAGATTTGGTTATCCTCTGGAGTGACACAAATACATAGCTGACTTAAGTTAGCTGTAATTGAAGAATTCAAAACTATTCTACCATTCATTTTTAACAACTGTCAGTTGTAACACTGATATAGTTTAGGAATACATAATAGTTAGAAAATAGCCATGAAACACATTGTTACATGCAATTATTTTGGTTGACACTCTTTATCAGTGTGGAAGGTCCAGTCCCTTCAAATCCATGTGGATAGTTGCACTTCACAGAAACATTGAGGAAGAAATGACAAAGGACGCTGGAGGAAAAAAGACAACACTAACAGAACTAAAGAAAATGGAACAACCACCACACTGAAGTTAGTCTTAGACAAAAAAGTTAATACAAATTGCACAAACAAGTTAAAAAACAATCCATCACAAAGTCTTTAAGGAGATACAGACTAACTTCTGCCATTGATATCAACTAAGTAGAAGAACAAGTGCTGTGTCTACCACTTTCAACAGAAACTATACACCATCACACAAGCCCCCTGCCTCTGCTTTGCACACACCGCAGATACTGTGCACAGGATGGCTGGGAGGTACGACCAGCTTTCCCATAATATGTCAGACAGATGATTGATATAAAACTGCCATTTGTGGTGAATGACGTATATGAGTACTATCACCATCACAGAATGATAATTACTGATTTCTGTACTGTGGTGTCCGTGTGGCTCTGAAAAGTCAGATCAAGTGAGTAAACAGCACTGCACCACGTGCTCACTGCTCATGAGACGCACAAAAAAAAAAACAAAGGGGGACAGGGCACACTCAGCCAGCTGAGAGCTTCCACATCAGGGGAGACACTTAAACAGTCATGGTGCTGTTTTCCCTGCTACACAGTTCACACAGACTCTCTCAGTTTCCATTAAAAACTTGGAAAACCTTCTCCTGCAGAACGGACTTGAAGAATCCCACCAGGTTGCAGTGCAGCATATCACATTTCATTTTGTTTATTGGACTTTTAAAAAATAGTTAAAAAAATAAGATGATGGCAGACAAGCAGCTAGTACTGAAGGGCAGACACTCAGATGAATCTGCTTGCTCAGCAGCTCACTTTGGCTGCCTTTTTTCCAGAGCGGGAGAGGCGACTTCGAACCGAAGATGACTGCAGTGGATGAAACTTGGCAGGCCGGTGTGCACGTCTGTACTGGCATTCAACAATCTGAACAGAGTTCTAACTCAAAGGCAACCATATAAACATATAAGTATTCCAGCTTACTGAATTGCCTTAGGCTACTATTACAAGCTTTGATTGGTTTCTTAACAGTAAAACTATGCCACTTATGTGCCAATATAATACTGAGAGTTTTAATTGATGCCATTTGTTCTGTAATAATAATAATTATAATAATAACAGTTGAAATTGTTATTTTACAAAATACTATGCACAATATAAGCTACATAAAGCAATTTCTGAGACTAAATTAGCAAATGCTTCATAATTGGCACATTTATCACTGCTAACAGAGATATCACAGTGCACTGAGCTATTGCTACATACCTGTACAGCTACTGTACTGCTGAGGATGATCATTTATGTCTGTCTGTCTGTCTTATTCAGCCAAACCCCCCTCACTACTGTTTACTTCTTCTGTAAAATACTAATAAGCAAAATATTTAATCATGTTCCTTTAAAGGTACTGTATGTTACTTTTTACAGGTATTTATCATTTTATTGCCAATGGGTGAACGGATCGTTACATAAAAACTGAGACATTCCCCAACTTCTTTGTTTGCTGATGAGAGCCTGTGGACTAATGTCTATGTAAAGGACTCAGGGCAGTAAAAATTCAAAGGACATGATGTTAATGCATGTTACCAAGTGCCTTGCCTGTCTTCAGCTCCTTCACAGCGCTAACAGTAAATCTAATGTTAGCGTACGTTAGCTAAGAAGTCTGCTAAAATACAACTGGCACACACCACAACAAAAAATCCACACATACTGTGTTTCCATTGTGTAACTTTGGCAGCGGCGGCCTGGAGACAGACTTTAACTAGCTACTTAAATCCAGCCAGACCTAAACTGAGTGACAGGGTCTGATTCCAGACAGCTCCAACTTTCTGCTACTTTCTGTTGCTGCTGTTACACATTAGACCCAGCCACCAGCTCACCATTACCCCTGGCGCTGGAGTACATTGGCTGAATTAGAGTTGGTTCAGTGATCCATCTGTGGAGCTGTTGCTCTCTTCCCAGTAAAGTAGTGTCCTAGCGACAGGGGTCGAAGGGACACCAGGATGTGCTAGCTGGCTGATTCTCATTTGTGGTCTTATAAATGGTAAATTGATTAAATTCAGTGCCCCCTGATTCCCGAAGCTGTAAAAATCCTAGATGGAACACTGACATGTAAAATATATTGTGATGTTTTGGCTTGTGCTGGTTAATGTTAGCTAACTTTAGCTTGCTTGTTAATGTGGACAAATTGCCAGTTAGCTAAAGTAACAAAATGCTGTCTTGAGTGGATAATATCTGATCAGATGTGGATGCCAAACTGGCTAGCTTGCTGTTTGTAAATTGCTTTTATCAGCAACATTACGAAGCAACCAATGACAGATCCATGCAACTGCTCGGGGCGCCTGACCAAAGGGCAGCCCCCTCACTCTGAGATCTCTCCACTTTGTGCATGTATAAGTCCTGTTTGTGCATGTGTGTGTCTTTCAGACCTGTGTGTAATTGACAAGCAAGAGTGAAAACATTGAATTTCCCCTCAGGGGGATTAATAAAGTGAATAAACTTAAACTAAACTTAAACTTATAGCTTAGTTACAACTATCTAGGTAATCTCAGCTTGCATGCTTACGTTTTTGCTAGCAAAATATATCTGAGTGGATATGTTAGTTCCCTAGCTTGCCAAATTAATTCACCAGCTAACATGACCCATGATACTAACTTAAATATTATGACAGTGTTGATTTAGCAAACAATAAATGGTGCAATGGTATAAAGCAAAGGTGTATAACCGAGCATTGCTTACTAGCCAAGAGAGCAATGCAAGGCAGGGGCAGACAACGAGCTAACTATAACGTAAGCTAGGGTTAGCCAGAGAGCTTGAACTTAGCTATGGGGCATGGATCTCTTGATTGTTGCTCTGTATCGTCAGCTGATAAAGTTATTTGCAGACAGCAAGCTAGCAGGTATTATGGTGCCAATAAAAAAATATATAGGAACAATACAAATCGTAATGTTATTAAAATATAATGATTGTAATTTGTTTTCCAGCAGTCTATCAACATGATGGCAGTCAATCATTCCCAGTATTGCGTATGTCATGTCGTTGTTTTGGCTGATGCACAGGCGCTCGCTTGTGCCTAAGGAGTGCGAGTTTGATCAAGAGATTGCTGACTGCAGTTCACTCAACAGCCACTCATGTCATTATTGAGGATTAAAGGAGGATTTTCTGAAAGTTACATACAGAACCTTTAATTTACTGAGGAGAAACAGTAGTTGTGGTCTTTGTGCATGCTCTCGTGTGTTGCTGTCTGTTGCTCCTGGAGCAGGCAGACATGACCTATGACCTGAAATGAAATGAAAGGGGTAACTAGAAAGGAAATATGTTTATATTAAATATACTGCCCCTGTGATGAGTGTAACAAAAAATGCTGACGGAGGCACAGGATCTCGTCTAGCTTTACATGCCCAGACCTATGATGCACAGTGCAACCGTCTCTTCAGCTGAGAGCCTTGGAGCAAAATCAAAGTTCAGTCAGAGAGCCCAGAAAGCTCCCGTGCACCTCAGACTACCGTACTAATGCCGCTGTGCTTGGGCTTGGTGCTGCTAGGTGCCTGGGAGGGTGCCGGTGGCGGGCCATGGTGGTGGGGGCCGAGAGCAGGGTGGGAGGAGTGTGCCAAGTGGCTTCCGTGGCTGTGCTGTGTGTGAGGGTGAGGTGGGTAGGCTGGCTGCTGGCCGTGAGAAGGGGGTGGGTGGTACTGGTGTGGAGGGTGCTGCAAGTTGGCCGGAGGGTGGTAGTGGTGGTGGTGATGGTAAGGCGGGGGGTTCTGGGTCATGTGGCAGAACTGAGCATGATGAGGGTGCATGGAGGCCGACGCGTCAGTCTCCGCCCGGGCTGTGTGCTGCAGGTTGGCAGGGTGGGGGGTGTGGGCGATGAGGGTGGGGTGCAGGGGCTGCGGGGTGGGGCTTGGGGACTTCACCCGCCTGGTACCAAACAAAGATCCTAGCAGTGAAGAGGAGTTGGGCAGGGACTGGCCACTGTGGCGGGACGGGCAGTCTCGGCTGGAGGGGGGTCTTCGCCGCATGTGAGGACTGCTAATGATTGACCCCTGCAAAAAAGAGGATGATCAGATCACAACAAAGACACAGCACAATTCTACTCTTGCTTTTTAGTGGGAAACAGCAGATAAAAGTGAACGTTTACTTGCTCTCAAATTCAAATATCCCCATTCATTTAATGACCAAAAGACAGATTTGTGGAAAGAAAAACACATTACCCTGCTGGTCTAGGCTTATACAGTGTGCACAGGCTTGAATTCTTCAAACAGTATCACCAACTACATGACCAGCTACAGCTGATCTCAAATCTCTTGTGGAAAAGCTTCTCCATTTCTCTTTTCTGGTTCACTGCCTTTGTTTGTCTATCCATGCTAACATCTCACGGTTGACTCTCTCTAAATACTTTGGAGGCTCAGCTTGGTGAGGTTGTCAGAGCCTGCCGTATCTGCACTGTCAGGAGCAGACAAACTGCCTCTGCATCTTCAGACTCTCTCTCTAACTGTGGATGCAGTTGTGAGTTCCTGTCACTATCTGTTTCCAAGGTTTCAAGGTTTCATATGACCCCAACTCTGCCTGCACCACATGCTAAGATTATGCATGATAATAAGGGAGGGAATGACATTTCGCTTGTTAGACATTACCTTAATGTTAATGCACCAAAAATAAAATAAAATGTTAAAAAAATTAAACAGTGATTGTTTATGAGTCCCAGACTTCGAGTCCGGGTCACGACTATAGTCTTTTGAGGATGAGTCTCAAATCACTGTGTGTGCAACATAAGTTTGACTTGAATCCCAGTCACAGACTCCAGTGCCCATTTCAGGCATGAAGTACAAACATTTGTACCGTTTTCAGTTGTCAAATTTGGGTTTACCAAGAGTGCACCACTGATATAAATGTTTTTATGTTTCTAAATTCCCACTCAGCAAGACAAATGAAAAACTTCATCAGCTTTTTTTTTTTTTTTTTTTTTATATATATATAAGGGCACAATAACACAGAATAACAATAAAAAAAGGCTTACGTTACAGAAATGAAGCAGATCTCTCAGAGCCATGCATACCATGCACACTGAACTATTCACCGGTGTAGATCCAAAAGATTCAGAGCTTTGAGTTATGATGTGCTAGTGTGTTAGTTAATGTATTATAACAAACTGATCACAGCAGCCTGGTCCCTGCAATGACTTGTTCATGAACATCTGATGGATTAATTATATTGTTGGACAGTCAGACTGCTATGACAGTAGGAAGACAACATGTTTTGGCTTTCATTTGAAAACTATGCTGTGCATTCTACCTGGATTATTTTGATCACAGGGTAGCTCTGTTTTTAAATGACCATAAATGACTTTCAAGGTTACAGTAAAAGATGGGCCTATATCCTGTATATTAGCCTATTTGTTTAAATTCATGTAACTTTTCATAGCTCAAGCAGTTTTTGAAAGTTCTAGTAGTGTGCTGAGGGTGGAACAGGGGGTGCTCAAGCTTAAACGAAAAACCCAAGCTGATATGAAGCGCAGGTTATTCATCTTTGCACTCTGTTGGAATTGCCCCATTCTTTGTAAGAGGTATCTAGGCATGTTAATTAATAAACAACAAACTTTATTTGACTGTGCTTTGGGCTGAATGCCGCAGACAGTGTGAAAGGTTTCGGGAGATGCAACTTTTAGTTTCTGTCTTTTTCTTTGGATTAGGTGACAACAAGAAAACTGTAGAGTAATACTGGCAGCCTTATCCTCAAAGGTCCTGTTCTGGTAACAGCTCCAGATTTCAGCTTGCATTAAGGAAGTAAAAAAAATAGGCTTATGTTAAATCATCAACAATTAAAAACCTTTATGGTTTTACTCAACCATTTTGGTAGAGCACATGTTGAGTCACTGTATCTCAGTGAAAAATGTGTTGAACTCAGGGGTGGAAGTAACGAATTACAAATACTCACGTTACTGTAATTAAGTAGATGTTTTGGGTACTTGTACTTTTATGAGTATTTTTTTCAAGTGTGTAATTTTACTCCTACTTGAGTACAATTTACACCATGTAATCTACTTCGCTACTTTTAAAATCATAAGTCGCTACTGAGTACGGCCACAATTTGAATTAATATTCAAACCTTTCATCTGCATCTTTGAAGCCAATAAGGCTGTCCGATCGCAACCGCGCCAATTAATCTATGATGTAAGGAAAGGACAACTTCGCTGCAGCAGGCACAGGTGTCTGGCAGTAACATACCTACACAGCGGAGTAGAGACTAATTTATGGACTGAAGATTTGGAGACAAAGAAGCCAAGGGTGAGTGTCCATGTGCTCCACACAAATCCCGTGAGCTCCGCACCGCAACATAACAGCTTACTGGCGAGTCCGACTCCAGGTCCAGTAATTTCCTCTTTCGTCGGCGTCATGACTGCCCAGTAGTAAGTTACCTGGACAACCGAGGCACACAGGCACACAGGTATGTGGCATGTCAGAGTAGAAACGAGTCGTTCACATTTCTCTCTCTGTGTCAGTAACGGCCCACAAACCTCACCGCACTTTAGGGACTGTTCTTTACTTATGAAGGGACTGTCAGGGGAGGAGGGTGGCTGGTTGATTTTTATTTTTTTTATTTTTTTTATTTTGATCCCCCCTATGTTAATCAGTTATTGATGCTGTTTTTGAAGTATGAATAAGTCAATAAGTAATTTATTCCACTGAAATATCATTGATGTATTATAGAAAAGTGATTTATCTTTTTAAAATGACAAAAAGCACATCTGCCTCATTTTTGCTGTGGTATCATGATACTACTCAGAACAGTGATACTTTCACTGGTATTGTACAGTGGGTCCAAATTTTGGTACCGTGACAACACTAGATGTCACAACCATTCCATTCGGGGTCGCGCAGTGAGGCGGCTCGGGGCTCGCAGTGTTCCCCCACTTTTGGGAGCGGGGGAACACTGCTCTCTCAGAGGCCCAAAGTGTTCCCCTACTTCTAATCTTCTAATCTTTACAAATTAAGCACTGGTTATTCGTTTGGCTAAGATAAGTCTGCAAAGATATTGTCACTGCCATTGATTTGCCTGATATTAAAATAAGACGGAGCTAGCTAACGTGTGCGTGCGTGCATGCATAATTGAGCTACAATTCTTAGAAATGTTTTAGCTTAATATTTGGACAACCACCGTCATTACAATAAATTAAATCTGTAGTCATTTAATACTCACAGGCCTACATTCAGCAGGCCTATATTTTGTGCTAGAGTGACGCTATGTCATATGAAACATTAACCATGAAAATTAACCATGTTAGCTTGTCGGTAAGGGGGTAAATAGTGCTCCAAATTCAGGCTAACGTTTAGCATGGAAAACAGGGCACAAGCAAGGGGTCCCTTGTTCTCTTACTTCAAGATACCTGAATGAAAATGTTTTCGTATGATAAGCGTTACCCCTTTACAGACACATCCACTTCACTCTAATCCCTTGCAGTTTTGTGCAAAACCCACGAGGTTATTTTGCGTGCGGTATTTATGTGATTTCGCCTATTCTATTTTATTATTCCTGCATATTGGGGTCCTTAAACAGTATTACAGTTGGATAATTTGGGGCTGACTGGAAAGCTGTGACTCTTGTGGAGTCAGTGAGCCCCTTGTATTCATGTGTGTGCCATGTGTTTACACTCTTGCCTCATAATAGGCATATCATTGCAGTAATTTCACTGTATAAGATGAGCTGTTTTTGATATTTTATACAGGTGAATCGAATCGAATGCCTGCTATTGACAACACAATAAAACATCCATCGGTTAAAAGTAATTAATACTCTGAGTAGTTTTTGAGAAGAGTACTTTGTACTTTTACTTAAATATTTTTTAAACACCAGTACTTTTACTTGTAATTGAGTACAATTTAAGCAATGTATCAGTACTTGTACTTGAGTACAAATTTTCAGTACTCTTTCCACCTCTGGTTGAACTTAACCTGATTGAGCTATCTCCATCATTCAGTCTAGGTATGTTAAATTAAAAATATCCACTAGATGTCACTGTGTCTTAAAATAGTTTGCCTTGTCAGTTCGCCTCCTACAGGAAGTTAGTAACAAAAAATGTATAGGTGAGCATTTTTTTTTAACAGGTTTTAGTTTTAGAGGTCTTACTGAACGGATTTATGTAACTTTATACAAAAATAAATATCTAATAGGAGTCAAATAAGTTTTTAAAAACATGTTCTACCAAACGGTTCATTTGTCCTGTTATGGTAAAGGTAGTAAAACTAAACTAATGTAATAGATATTTACTATTTGCTACAAAATAAAAAACAAAAACTTCTGCTCATTTATTGTTGTTAAATTATACATTTCATTTTGTCCATTATCTGTATGCTGAAATAATTTAATAAGTATAATTTTTTACTGAGATAGATACCTTGAAATACCCCAAGTATCTTGGGGTCTTGCTCACAAGTGAGGGTAGAACGGAGCATGAGATGGATTGGTGGTTTGGTGCTGCTTCTGCAGTGATGCGGGTACTGCACTGGACCATTGTGGTGAAGAGGGAACTGAGCCGGAAGGCAAAGCTTTTGATGTACTGGTCCATCAACATCCCACCCCTCACCTACAGTACAGGCCAAAAGTTTGGACACACCTTCTCATTCAATGCGTTTTCTTTATTTTCATGACTATTTACATTGTAGATTCTCACTGAAGGCATCAAAACTATGAATGAACACATGTGGAGTTATGTACTTAACAAAAAAAAGTGAAATAACTGAAAACATGTTTTATATTCTAGTTTCTTCAAAATAGCCACCCTTTGCTCTGATTACTGCTTTGCACACTCTTGGCATTCTCTCGATGAGCTTCAAGAGGTAGTCACCTGAAATGGTTTCCACTTCACAGGTGTGCCTTATCAGGGTTAATTAGTGGAATTTCTTGCTTTATCAATGGGGTTGGGACCATCAGTTGTGTTGTGCAGAAGTCAGGTTAATACACAGCCGACAGCCCTATTGGACAACTGTTAAAATTCATATTATGGCAAGAACCAATCAGCTAACTAAAGAAAAACCAGTGGCCATCATTACTTTAAGAAATGAAGGTCAGTCAGTCCGGAAAATTGCAAAAACTTTAAATGTGTCCCCAAGTGGAGTCGCAAAAACCATCAAGCGCTACAACGAAACTGGCACACATGAGGACCGACCCAGGAAAGGAAGACCAAGAGTCACCTCTGCTTCTGAGGATAAGTTCATCCGAGTCACCAGCCTCAGAAATGGCAAGTTAACAGCAGCTCAGATCAGAGACCAGATGAATGCCACACAGAGTTCTAGCAGCAGACCCATCTCTAGAACAACTGTTAAGAGGAGACTGCGCCAATCAGGCCTTCATGGTCAAATAGCTGCTAGGAAACCACTGCTAAGGAGAGGCAACAAGCAGAAGAGATTTGTTTGGGCCAAGAAACACAAGGAATGGACATTAGACCAGTGGAAATCTGTGCTTTGGTCTGATGAGTCCAAATTTGAGATCTTTGGTTCCAACCGTTGTGTCTTTGTGAGACGCAGAAAAGGTGAACGGATGGATTCCACATGCCTGGTTCCCACTGTGAAGCATGGAGGAGGAGGTGTGATGGTGTGGGGGTGTTTTGCTGGTGACACTGTTGGGGATTTATTCAAAATTGAAGGCACACTGAACCAGCATGGCTACCATAGCATCCTGCAGCAACATGCCATCCCATCCGGTTTGCGTTTAGTTGGACGATCATTTATTTTTCAACAGGACAATGACCCCAAACACACCTCCAGGCTGTGTAAGGGCTATTTGACCAAGAAGGAGAGTGATGGAGTGCTGCGGCAGATGACCTGGCCTCCACAGTCACCGGACCTGAACCCAATCGAGATGGTTTGGGGTGAGCTGGACCGCAGAGTGAAGGCAAAGGGGTCAACAAGTGCTAAACACCTCTGGGAACTCCTTCAAGACTGTTGGAAAACCATTTCAGGTGACTACCTCTTGAAGCTCATCGAGAGAATGCCAAGAGTGTGCAAAGCAGTAATCAGAGCAAAGGGTGGCTATTTTGAAGAAACTAGAATATAAAACATGTTTTCAGTTATTTCACTTTTTTTGTTAAGTACATAACTCCACGTGTTCATTCATAGTTTTGATGCCTTCAGTGAGAATCTACAATGTAAATAGTCATGGAAATAAAGAAAACGCATTGAATGAGAAGGAGTGTCCAAACTTTTGGCCTGTACTGTATGGTCACGAGCTCTGGGTAGTGACCGAAAGAATGAGATCGCAGATACAAGCAGCTGAAATGAGTTTCCTCTGTGGGGTGGCTAGGCTCAGCCTTAGAGATGGGGTAAGGTGCTTGGACATTCGGAGGGAGCTTAGAGTAGAGCCACTGCTCCTTCTCATTTAAAGGGGTCTGATGAGGTGGTTGGGGCATCTGATCAGGATGCCTCCAGGGTGCCTCCTGTTGGAGGTTTTTCCCAGGCACGTCCAGCTAGCAGGAGGCCCCAGGGCAGACCCAGAACACACTGGAGGGATTAAATCATCTGGCCTGTGAATGCCTTGGGGTCCCCCAGGAGGAGCTGTAAAGCATTGCTCCAGGGAGCCCCAGTTAGCAAATGAAAATGGATATCAATATATATATATCAGTATGATTTTTTTTCACCATTTCTGAGATGTTTTCAAAATGCTGTAATATGCTGTAATAATTAATATATACAATAATATTAATATACTAATACTAATATTTTACAAGGATAATGACAGAACATGGTTTGTAATTTTGATTTTTGTCTTTCTGTTTTACAAATACCATGAAATGACATATCAACCGTTTGATAGAGGCCTATATTCAAAAAACTACATGTCTGTTAAAAAAAAGAAACATTGATTTTTGTTATTATTGCCCAAAGCAAACTTAAAAAATGGAGAGAATTTTTTTTGCATTGCTTTGTTTTCTCAGTGCGGATTTTAAAGGGTTAAATCAAGCCAACTTAGCAAGACACAAGCCCCTTTTACACTGCCAGATTTTCCGCGAATGTTGGGCCGTTTTGCCGGCAAGCGTTTAGACACACAGAGCCGGATTGGCAAGTTGATCTGAGGTGCCCAATTTTCCGCCTTGTAGGGTAGTCATATTGGCGGAACTCTTTTAGTTTAAACAGACCGAGGCGGCCTTCCGCAACGGGAGGTGCTGTTGAAGACTTGTGGGAGGAGCTGTTGATGACGCCACACGTGCGAGCCACTGGCGGTGGATAAACAGGAAACAGCTGATAGCAGGAATGAGCAGCTAGTAGCAAACGCAGGGAAACGCAAACCTGACAGACACTGTAAAGATGAGCAACTGGAGAGACAAGGAATTGCGCACCCTCCTTGTCCTCGCAAACAAAGAGGCCATTAACCGTCAGATAACAGGAACGGTGAAGAACGGGCCGACTTACGAGAAAATCGCCAAAGGACTGACTAGCCGCGGCTTCCTTCCCACGTTACTGGTTGCGTCACACGCTGAGCTACACATTTTGTTACTTGCTCATGCCCCCCATTGCCATGAAAAAGGCGCATTCTGTATAAACAAAAGTAGGTAGGCGGCATTTTGCTGCACTCCCCGATTTTTTTTAAAGATATTTTTTGGGGCATTTTTGCCTTTAATTGATAGGACAGGTAAGTGTGAAAGGGGGAGAGAGAGAGAGAGAGGGAATGACATGCAGCAGAGGGCCACAAACTGGAGTCGAACCCGGGCCGCTGCAGCAACAGCCTTGTACATGGGGCGCCTGCTCTACCCACTAAGCCACTGACGCCCCTGCACTCCCTGATTTCGTTTTTATTGTGCCAGTGCTGAAAAAAAAGACTGATTGGGCTTTCCTGCAAATTTGCACAGTTCCTATCTAAAAAGGGCTACATACTCATGGCCCTAAACACAGAGATAGTCTGGCTCGATAGAGTTTATTTTAACTGTTTCAACTCCATGTTTGGATCCAAACACTGCAGTACACTGCTATCTAGGTGTGACAATAAAAACAGGAAAAGAGAGGAACTTCTTGTCAAGGTCAGGGGTCGATGAAAGGGAGCATTGCGAGTCTGTCACTTCAAACCGTCTGAGCATGCAGGAGCTGGAACTACAAAGCACAGCCAGGTTCAACTTGAGTGACCAAAAAAGGACAAAATCCAGGAAATGGCTAAAACTCTAACCCACCAAACAAGAGGATGACTCAAGGTGAGAGTGTAACATCAGCACAGAGCATCCCTAATGTGACAAGTGTTATTAGTCATGTCATGCTATACACATCGAGGATAATTTGTATCAGCCACAGTGGATCATTCCCATTCAGCCCAATGCATGCAGTGTCCAAGGTGCTCACAACAAAACACCACCAAAACAGTCAAAATAAAAACCCAGACTGCAAAGAAACAAAAACAGAGACTTGTGTGTTCAGAGTGAACAACATAAAGTCAGAGGACAGCTCACCATCAGTTGTGTCCTACTTACTTCCATATTGCTGTCTAGTGATCCTGCACTGCTGCGTCTTCCACGCTTGCCTGCCCAGAACATGTAACATGATAGATTAGACACACCTGGTTAATACATGAAGGTGTATAGGCCCTCTGTCTAATATGGAGGAGGTACACTAGCACCCTAAGGTGACAATAGTGGAACGTGACTATCTACAGTAGAAGCACACTGTCAGTATGGAAGAGGGAAGCGAACAAGGACTAAAGAAAGGGGAAGAAGCAAATCACCGCTACAACTCCACGACATAGTTAGCCTCTGGGACAACTCTATCTCTACAGCAACTTGGAGCCCAGCTGGCAGGAGACCCTCCCATCAGTAAAAATGTGCAGTCGGCCTGCATTAGAGGGATACTCCAGCCATGGGTGTGGGAAGGTGGGTGCTGAGGGTGCTGCAGCACCCCCTGTTGATGAGGAGTGAAACAACACAGTCTGTAAATAGTTGGCTATTTTACCATAACTCATGGGCTCATGACACAGATAATTTGTTTTAAATTCTAAACAGCAAATGATGATGTGCCTGTCAGAAAATGTCTGAAAAAAAAAAAAAAAAAAGTTTAAAATTACCATAAAACTTTGCTTCAATCACTGAACTCAAAAGGCTTATATTTGGGACAGGCGTCTATATGAGACAGGCCTCAAAATTATTTTACACAAAACTATCATGCAGCAAAGATGGCAAACATGATCAAGTTGTTAATTTGAATCAGTATGAATATTACGTGAAAAAAAATTAGGCTTCAACAAACATCAATTATGTTTAAAGCAATATTCGTGACTTGCATTAATTCTTATGAAAAACACTTTTGATTCTTTTGATCAGTAGATCCCCATGGAATAAAAGAATATGAATAACTAACCTGGTAATCAAGGAATGGACACATATTCTGACTTTATGACAGCTTCAGAGGTAGGGATTCACCACTTGCTTTTCACCAAGCTGGTAAATCTGATTAATTACAGTCTTCTCTTCTCATGGTTTCTTTAAAATGAACTGAACTGAGCTAACGTTTAAACATTTATATTTGTATTTGCGATCTAAACAGCTAACTAATGTTAGCTCAAATGGGTAGTCAACAATCTGGATTTATACGTCCAAGGAACTTCTATAAAAATGGACTGCTTGGCAATGTGTAGCCACACCAGGCTAGTAAAAGGGACTGGGAGTTTAATTTGGACTAAGCTTTTAATTGAAGTTTTAAGTAATTCTTTTGATCTGACATGACAGCTAAGGTTATACCATATATTTCAATAATAACTACATACCAGATGCCAAGATGGCTCCTATTCGTTCCAGTAGTTTTACAAATATAAAACCACCATGGATACAAAATTCAGAACATAAAGATTAATAATTGAACTTGTTTGCATTTGGATGTGTCCTGTCAAAAGTTTTACAGATAGTCTCTTTTACAGTGGCCTATGGGGAAAATGCTTTTGGGTTGCAGGGGATTTTGTCCCTGCAAAGTGACCACTGGAAAAATCTGCTGCAAGGCTGAGCAGCTTTCCTGGGGGCCTGCGTTTTAGAGCTGCTTTTTAGATCCAAAAAATATCTTGGATGCGTGGGACTGCCACTACGGGGGCAAAGCCATCAGGATGAGTGTTATGGCAGCTAGTAATGGGGCAGACAATAAGCAAATGTAACGTTATGAGTTGCCCAGGGGATGTGAGTGGCCTCAACAAACAGACAACTGGATGTCCAACACCATTTAAGAGGAAATATTGGAAATTTTGGCACATGCAGCCCAGAGATGAATTGTGTTTGAGTCAAGAGAGCGCACATTGTTTGGACTAATGGAACCATCAATGTAAGTACGTCTGAGCAGTTTTCTTGTAACTCCTCAAACCAATCACGAGAATAAATGTTTGAATTGTAGGTTTTTGCAATCCACAGATACGTAACATTTTACCCTATTATGTAGCAGATATGTTATTTTTCTGCCAATAATGCTGTGGATAACACAGGGGCGGACTGGCCATCTGGAAGTTCTGGAGAATCACAGAACGGCCGGTACTCCAGGACGGCCGGCAGCCGCCATGCAATCATCACCGGTTTTTTTTTGTTTGTTTGTTTGTTTGTTTTCCTTTTTCTCCCTGATAACCTACTGTTCCATGTCCAGTCCGCTAGGTGGCAGCCTTTAAATTGGATGCCAGCCGGCCCATAGATATCTATGAGCCGGCCGGCCGCCAATCAACTTGAAGAAGAAGGAAGCGCATACCGTATGCAGGGGCGGACTGGCCATCTGGAGGTTCTGGAGAATCACAGAACGGCCGGTACTCCAGCCCGGTTGTTGTGGGCTGGGCCAAGTCAAAGTCCAGGGCTATTTTTTAGTCCCAGTTCGCCCCTGGGTTAACATGTGGTTATGTTTAGGCAAATAACCCCAACTTGGTTATGGTTAGAAAAATATCATGTTTTGGCTTAAAATACCACCAATTTTGGTGGTAGAATCATTCTAACTGAGGCCTCTGGTTTGTAGTCTTTTTTTATTTATAGTCCTCACGCTCAAACTGAGATTACCTTGATAACATCACTATGACATCATCAGGGTTATTTTCTTCGACTTGATAAAGCTCTTCCAGAGCCACAGAGGCTGAGTAGTACACCTCTGCTAAAGTGCCTTTGTGTAAACCTGTCTGTAAAATCAGTGGAGCACCCCTCTAGGGGTTGAGGAACTGTATTAATATCACGGGTACAACAAAACAAACTTCAAATTTTGTAAATATATGTTTAACTGATTGATGCAAAAACAGCTCCTTAAGGAACAAAAAGCCTACAAAATCCACTATTGATGTGACTCTGTAAAGACTGCCACTAAAAAACATCAAATGCACTGATCACTGCTTTACTGGTCCGAAGCCTGTGCTGAGGTCACTGAGTGTGTTTGTGCAGAGCAGCTCTGCAGTGTAGAGGCCACTCTCAACCACACAACATTAATTCCTCTTACCACTAAGACGCTCAGATTGATCACAGTGACCTACATAGTGCTGCCTCCTCCCCCACAGGCAATGCAAGATTATTAGTTAATAGCCTCTTTTAAAATTCACCTGGGCCCATTAGCAAACACCCATCTCTATCTCCTTGCTTCACTGGCTGCATGGGGTGTGTTCACTAAGACACTCTGCCTTGGCAGGTCAGTTGCAGTGGTTAATGTACAGGGACAGGAACTCAGCTTCTTCCAAGTTTCCAAATCAATTAACATCCAAAAGGAGTGAATAGTATCATGCCAGCTTCCAGCTTGGGTATACATTCTATATTGTCTTGCAGAAGGATGAGACATGAGATAGTAGGCTACCATAGCAACTACTGATTTTACCTGCATCTGAGAGGTCACGTAGGGAGCTGCTGAGGGCGCTTCTCTTCAAGCCTTCACCAATGGCGTAGCTGTCATCGAGGCTCGCTCGGCTGAGGTTGCCGTTGCCTGTTTCCTTCTTTAACCCTGAACTCTGGGACATGCTGGGCCTCACCACCCCCTTTTGTTTTTCTAGTTCAGCTGTGGAGGAGACACATATGCAATGTCGACAGCACTTCTCTGTTTTGTAATCTTGAATAATTTTTGAGCACAGATTTCTAGAAAAAACATAAAACTTTGGCCCACATTCTATCCGGTACTTCTCCATCTCTTGGACTTCAGCAATAGATTCTCGCAAATCGTCAGTAAACTTTTTGCGGTCCTGAGGATTGGGTGCATTGAAGTTGATGAGGATTTTGACGTCAGCTCCGGGAATGGCTGATGTTAGACGAACTCCATTGGGGTAATCTAAAGAGTGACAATATGTACTCTTTAACCCAAGTCCAAACAACATTAGAGTTCTTTCAATAACAGACAACACTACCATCAGAGTGTCAGTATGTTTCAAAGCAAATGCTTGTTTGATCATCAAACGCCATCAGAAACCTTCTATCTCCATACCTTCCCAGCTGGTCACCAACTTCATCAGACATTGATATTTGATTGAATTTAGATTGTGACATCAGGTGACCAAAATTCAATGTCTAATGCCAACGTCAATTTGACGTAGAATAGCGTGGACAGATGATGTTGATATTTTGTTGGTTGTAAGTTGTGTTGTTAAGTGACCAAAGTCATCTTGAAGTAGAATAACAACATTTAGTCGTAAGATATGAACCCAATGTCTGCAAAATATTATAATATTAACGTCCACACAACATGAAATTCTAACATTAAAGTTCCACTGATTGTCACACACCTGAGTGTGGGAGGGAGTGAGCAGCAGCGGTGCCGTACTCGGGAATCATGTGGTGATCTAACCCCCCAATTCCAACCCCTAATGCTGAGTGCCAAGCAGGGTGACAATGGGTCCCATTTTTATAGTCTTTGGTATGACAGCCGGGGATCAAACCCACGACCTCCCAGTCTTAGGGCGGACACTCTACCACTAGGCCACTGAACTGGTGCAGCTGCCTCCCCCCCAGAAAAACAAACAAACAAAAAAAAAATATTACAGTGTGCCTTGAAATGTGGCCATTCTCAACAGCCATAAACATTTTGTTGCCTTTATTTGTACAAACAAGTTTGTTTGAAGCACACTGACACCTTTAGAAAGAGCTAACACCAAAGTCTCCATGGCACTTACACTGATTCTCAAAAAGCAGCACTTGCATGCCATAAAGTGAGAAGGACTGCCGAAAGCTGTACGTCACAGAGTTCTTCTTCTTTTGGAAAATTTTAGTAACCTGTGAAGGAATCATGACATATACAGCGGTTAAGACTCTTTGAGTGAGTGCCCAAGTGTGTTCTCAATGTGCTGGAAGAATAATGAATGCCTTACCACTAGCAGGTCATTAAAAAGGAAGATCTCCCTCTGGTGCAGGCCCAACTTTTGTGGTTTGTTGGGGTCGGGCACTTCAAAAAGTCTGCAGTAACAGACCAATCTCCGGTGGGGTAAGGATAATACCTGCACACATATTACAGTGACATTACTGAGTATAAAAATGTATTTAGTGGTATACATTTCATAAAGTCTTTGGATATTTGAAAATATTTCCACTCAACCCTAAAATAAAGATGAGAGGAAGAGTTATACTTACACAGCCCAGGCCATGATGTAACGAGCCAATCTATGGAGTGAGAGATACATGCAAGAATCATTCTATAGGGATCAGTGAACACCTACAAGAGGTTTTAAATCCACCATACATCAAAAGAAAGACATTCCAACTAATGTTCAACAAGAAAATTGGGCCAAATTTAAAATCAGAAAAACTATTTTTATGGATCACAGAACAAACATCTGTGTTTCCCATAATCCATCTTTTTATATGTTGTTGTTTCCAGTATGCATCAGCCTTAATAATCATGACATTGTCAAGGTCCTTAGACTTCTGGTGATTTGTCGTGTAAGTTTGATTTTGGGGCCGTTCAGATGTAGCGTCTTTTGCGCGCACAAATCCATTAGTTTCAATGTAGGCGCGCGCCAAGTGCGCTCACAATCCAAAGCGACGCTGTAGCGGCACACATTCGGTGCAACGCGCCTGTTTTTTCGTGCGTGCACAGAGATGGAAAAATCTCAGCTTTTTCGAATGCAGCAAGCGCACTGCATGTCATGTGATAAGAATCAACCAATCAGCTCCACGGACCTGCTTTTTCCTTTCCTTCCAACAGACTTCACAACATCCGGTGGTGTGAAAGACAGCAAGCAATGGAGGAGCAACTGATCATTCTTGTCAAGGGATACCCAGAGTTATATGAGCTGTCTTCGTCGTACTACTTTGACTCCAACAGAAGGAACAATGCCTGGAGAATTATCAGCTCGGAGCTTGGGATAACTGGTGAGCATGATGATACGCTATTTTTATGGCTAACAGTTGTGCCCTGTGAGTGACAGGCGGTTTTGGTTGCTTAGTAACGGCAGGCGCGACAGTAGCGCAACCTCCAAAGCGCCTTGGATAAAAGGATGGAAATGGCACAGCTGGTGTTTTCCACGCGCTTTTAGACGCTACATCTGAACGGGGCCTAAAAGGGTATAAATGGATTGAAAGGAAGGGTGGGGTTTCAAATTAACACCTTCAATACAATGTGGTGTGAAGTTGTTTATCTCATTTATTAATACAGAGCTTGTCAGGTGGCACTTTTTTTGGCTGGCTCTTTGGGAAAAAGACATATTACAGTCATTCAGCAAGCTCTCCGGCCCTGAAGAATTAATATGTCGCACAGTGAAGAAAGTAGGATCAAGTAAAGAATGCCCTCTTCATTTCTTTTGGTCTTTGAGGAATGTTGGCCACGAATAAGCTAGTGGTCACTGTGACATCTCAAAGGTACATTGGGCAATTTGCTATTGCATGCTCCTGTTAGATTCAGCCCCTGAATGGAGGGTAAGAGAAAAGTGGTCACGCTTTACGTGCAGCAGCCCAAACTCCAACTTACCGGCTTTTTTCCAACAATGAGTTTTTCCACTTTCTGAACCTGGGACACATGGTCTTCATTAGTCTTGAGCTCTCGCTTGCGAATCCGCTCATATATCCCTACCAGCATCTCTCGGGGGATGTCTTCCCCATCATCCACTCCTGTCAGAGGATGAGAGGAAAAGAGAGAGAAAAAAAAGAGAGGGATTAATGATTAATTCAGAGATTTATGAGAGTTGCTGAACCCCTGCATTCACTTGCATACTGCTGTGTTGCACATATTTCTCACAGTACAGACAGAAATGTCCTTCAGAGCTTTCTGAGGACAAGCATTTCTTCTCCACTCAATACTGTACTTTAATTACTGACACTCCGATAGGCAGCGAAATGAGTTAGCCATAATAATAATAATTATGGTAATAATAATAATAATAACTTTATTTGTATAGCACTTTTCAATATAAATAACAAAGAAATGAGTTAGCCATGCCACAAAGCCCATGCTAATACCCAACTAAAAAGTGATTTGCCTCAATAGCAAAGCTTTCTTGGCTATGACTTACAAAAAAAAAAAAAAAAAAAGTACTGTCCTTGATCAAGGCAAAATGCATGCAAAAAAAAGGTCAATATTTATGCTTGGAGCTGCACAGTAGTGTCTGACGGTAATATTGATTATGTGACAGTAAGCTGGACGTGGTGCAGGAAGGGAAGACATAGTACCTCGAAGGTTCTTAACAAAGTCCTCCAGCTTCATCTTCCTTTCAGGCTTGACGTTTGGGCTGTACATGTCTGTGTTGAGGAGGATGATGGCAAAGGCCAGGATGAAGATGGTGTCGGGGTTCCTGAACTGTCGCACCACACCAGGGTTACAGATGCAATAACGTTGGCTGCAAAGAGGATATTGGACACAAACTGTAAGTCAAACTGAACTGAATTCATTTTTGCCAAGAATTTAATACACATTTTGTTGGTTTCTTGTTTGACTTATGCATTTATTCAGTCAAAACTGTATTCACTACAAAGAGGAAATCAAATTATTTAGTATTTTTCTGCTGTAGTAGAGCCCCCTGTTATCGTGTGTGAGAAGTTTTGATATAGACTAACAATGTCAGTACATATCTGTATGGACAGGCTTTCAAATATAGTTCATTATATCCTTTCATTTCTATTTATGCCTCTTACATAACCCGACATAAGTTTTTGACTTTACATGTAATGACTTGAGTCACAGTGTAATATACAGAGTGCTGAGGTCACAGGATGACCAGTCAGGCCATTTGCCATCAAAATCTGGATCTAGATCTGAAAAATGGTCACACATCTGGATGAATTAGAATTACCGCCTCGCGGTCGTATGCATCTGCAAACCTGTCAAGTTGCACTTACAGTTTACATCCATGTCTGTGTCAGTGAAGATTCTCAGTCGTCCAGATCATGGTAATCCTAAGTGGATATATATATATACAGTACAGGCCAAAAGTTTGGACACACCTTCTCATTCAATGCATTTTCTTTATTTTCATGACTATTTACATTGTAGATTCTCACTGAAGGCATCAAAACTATGAATGAACACATGTGGAGTTATGTACTTAACAAAAAAAGGTGAAATAACTGAAAACATGTTTTATATTCTAGTTTCTTCAAAATAGCCACCCTTTGCTCTGATTACTGCTTTGCACACTCTTGGCATTCTCTCCATGAGCTTCAAGAGGTAGTCACCTGAAATGGTTTTCCAACAGTCTTGAAGGAGTTCCCAGAGGTGTTTAGCACTTGTTGGCCCCTTTGCCTTCACTCTGCGGTCCAGCTCACCCCAAACCATCTCGATTGGGTTCAGGTCCGGTGACTGTGGAGGCCAGGTCATCTGCCGCAGCACTCCATCACTCTCCTTCTTGGTCAAATAGCCCTTACACAGCCTGGAGGTGTGTTTGGGGTCATTGTCCTGTTGAAAAATAAATGATCGTCCAACTAAACGCAAACCGGATGGGATGGCATGTCGCTGCAGGATGCTGTGGTAGCCATGCTGGTTCAGTGTGCCTTCAATTTTGAATAAATCCCCAACAGTGTCACCAGCAAAACACCCCCACACCATCACACCTCCTCCTCCATGCTTCACAGTGGGAACCAGGCATGTGGAATCCATCCGTTCACCTTTTCTGCGTCTCACAAAGACACGGCGGTTGGAAGATCTCAAATTTGGACTCATCAGACCAAAGCACAGATTTCCACTGGTCTAATGTCCATTCCTTGTGTTTCTTGGCCCAAACAAATCTCTTCTGCTTGTTGCCTCTCCTTAGCAGTGGTTTCCTAGCAGCTATTTGACCATGAAGGCCTGATTGGCGCAGTCTCCTCTTAACAGTTGTTCTAGAGATGGGTCTGCTGCTAGAACTCTGTGTGGCATTCATCTGGTCTCTGATCTGAGCTGCTGTTAACTCCTCATGTGTGCCAGTTTCGTTGTAGCGCTTGATGGTTTTTGCGACTCCACTTGGGGACACATTTAAAGTTTTTGCAATTTTCCGGACTGACTGACCTTCATTTCTTAAAGTAATGATGGCCACTCGTTTTTCTTTAGTTAGCTGATTGGTTCTTGCCATAATATGAATTTTAACAGTTGTCCAATAGGGCTGTCGGCTGTGTATTAACCTGACTTCTGCACAACACAACTGATGGTCCCAACCCCACTGATAAAGCAAGAAATTCCACTAATTAACCCTGATAAGACACACCTGTGAAGTGGAAACCATTTCAGGTGACTACCTCTTGAAGCTCATGGAGAGAATGCCAAGAGTGTGCAAAGCAGTAATCAGAGCAAAGGGTGGCTATTTTGAAGAAACTAGAATATAAAACATGTTTTCAGTTATTTCACCTTTTTTTGTTAAGTACATAACTCCATGTGTTCATTCATAGTTTTGATGCCTTCAGTGAGAATCTACAATGTAAATAGTCATGAAAATAAAGAAAACGCATTGAATGAGAAGGTGTGTCCAAACTTTTGGCCTGTACTGTATATATATATATATATATATATATCGTAGGCAACTGGACTTGCTTGCGTTTCTTGAAGACATTTCGCCTCTCATCCAAGAAGCTTCCTCAGTTCTAAATGACTGGTATGAAGTTGCAGACCCTTACAGAGTCGTAGGGGTCACATGTAAGCCCTTAGTTTCAGAGTCGTTAAGGTCCAATCTGGCCACCATGTGAGTCGTTAGGGTCAGGTGGGACCAGGGTTGAATGGGTGTTAAGTCGTCTGGGGAGGGATCCCAAGACTGCATTGTAGGTGGATGATAACTGGCGTCGTAAGCCACCCCCTCTGTTTAACGATGGTCGTTCCAGCTTGAAACCATCTACGTCAAGCTGGAACGACCATCATTCCATCATCTCACATTGTGACCTTAACGACTCTGAAACTAAGAGCTCACATGCGACCCACCCACACAGGGTTTAAAGCCTGCAACTTTGTACCAGTCATTTAGAACTGAAGAAGCTTCTTGGATGAGAGGCGAAACGTCTTCAAGAAACATAAGCAAGTCCAGTTGCCTACGATATAGCACATACGATCCATGTCCATGAGAATGTAAATGCCTCACACACATCTTCCCATCAGGAGCAAAGAATATCTAAACAATATGCACAGTTTCAAGGTGGGCACCCAAGATTAAGGTCACATAAAAAATGTTTCTGCAGAACATTATGACATCGCAGTGAAGCTGACCATTGACCTTTGAGCTGGATAAATAATGTAATCACTTAATCGTTTTATCTTATCAGACATTTGTGTGAAATTCTGTCATAATTAGTGTATTAATACTTGACTTATGGCCAAAAACATGCTTTGTGAAGTCACAGTGACCTTGACCTTTGACCTTCATCCACCAAATTCAAATCAGTTCATTGGTGAGTGGAGGTTTGTTCCAAATCTGAAGAAATTACCTCAAGGCCCCAACAATGAGACAAACACAAGGTCACAGTGACCTTGGCCTTTGATCACCAAATGCTAATCAGGTTACCCTTGACTTAAAATGAATGTTTGTGCTAAATCTGACAAATTTTTCTCAAGGTGTTCTTGAGATATCAGGTTTGCGAGAATGAGACAGATGCAAGGTCACAGTGACTAGTGAGAGTTCATGCATTATTAAATTGTCATCTTCACAATAGAAGATTTCAGTATGAGATTTGTGATCTTGACAAGTTCTGAATATTTGCAAAATGCAGCAGTAACTAACTCAGTAGATCAGCTGGTGATTGAACCAGCAGGTATCAGCCACGGACATTCATAACGCGCTGTGAAAGCATGTTCATTATTAATACAATAAATAAATAAATACGGAAGAAAACAAGTGAGCAAACAAACAAATATAGCAAGCACATAATTGTTTGCTAGACATTGGTGATAATTTTCCGCCTGGTTACAATTTGCTAGCAGAAGAAGAAAAGCTGTGAAATTTTGTGACTCTCATTTCTGTTGAGTGCGCAACAGCTGTGTTTGAGTTGAGATAACAATACCCTGCCAATTTTTGCACACTATGCTGGTATGTACATAGTGTACGCATTGTACGTATTGTATTTATGAACCATCGGTGCCTTTTTTTTTTTTTTAAAGATACTTTTTAGGGCATTTTGCATTTAATGGACAGGACAGGTAAGTTTTTTTGAAAGGGGGGGAGAGAGAGGGGGGTTGACATGCAGCAAAGGGCCACAGGCTGGAGTCGAACCTGGGCTGCTGCAGCAACAGCCTTGTACATGGGGCGCCTGCTCTACCCACTAAGCTACCGACACCCCCATCGGTGCCTTTTAAATATTATTTATTAATATTTACTTCTCTTTGTGTCCTGATTGGTGGAGACTTGAGCACTTTTATTTTATTCTATTTCATTTTTATCATGTTTTAATGTGTATTGTTTTTATTTCTCAGCCTGTTTCTACTATGTTTCATGTTACATTGTTTTGTCATTTGTCTGTTGAGTGGATGTCACATTTTGCTGCAAAACAAATCTACCAACAGGTATAAATAAAGTAACCTGAACCTGAACCTAAACCTGCATTGTACTGCATGTGAGTGTACTAAAGTAAGTATCTGATTTGAGACATAGCACTGGTGTAGTTATACCATGTGGTTGTGCTCTGTTATTGAAAACTAGGTTACAGTTATTATTGTTTGTCTGATAATGTTAGCAATGTTTTCTTGTTACCCTGAGTAACCTTAAAGGAGACCTAATATGCTTTTTTTCAGGGTCATATTATATTTATGTTTATTTTATTTAAGAAGGGACAGTGCACCTTAATTAACATGACCACTTAAGTCACGTAAATGTGCCAGATTTAGCCATACAGGCTAATTTTCATCTGCAGTCCCTGGCAGGTTGATGGTATATACATATAAATACATATTCATATGAATATGTGATATTGGGGTATAGTGGAATAGATTTATGTGCTTTACTGTTCAAAACACACATTATTTGTCCTATGCTGCCCAGTGCTGCAGCCTCTCTGTCTGAAATGCTGTCTGGGCTTATGTCCCACCTCCCCAGTAGCCCAGTCTGCTCTGATTGGTCAGCTTGCTTAGTCTGCTCTGACTGGTGCAACGCTTAGAGCATGTGCTGGAAACGTTGGTTACGTACTGTAACCCCAGATTCTATGAGTATAGGCGCAGCCCTCTAAGAGCTGTCGCTATTGGGTTTATCCCTGCGCGCATGCACAGTCGTGAAGATTTTCTTTCGCGCCACTGTGCCCTGCACAATTGCCCCTCCCTGGTCCGATTACAGGGTATATAATACCTGCGTGACCAGAGAGAGATCTGCTCCCTAATAAGCCAGCTTTTCTTCAGCTGACGTTGGTGGGGCAGTGGGGCCTGGGTCTTAGAGGGCTGCGCCTATACTCATAGAAT